AATTAACAATCTTCCTCATACTTCAAAAAATTGAAACAGTTCCAAACTCCAAACTATGAAGTCAGCATTACCCTGATACCAAAACCAAAGGCACTAAAAGAAAACTACAGACTAAGATCCCTGATAAATATGTTGCAAAAATCCTCAACAAAATACTAGCAAACAAAATTCAACAGCATACCAAAAGAATTATATACCATGACCATGAAGGATTAATTCCCAAAATGCAAGAATGGTTCAACAACAAAAAATCAATCAATATAATACAGCACATTAACAGAATGAAGAAAACAACTCATGATCATTTCAATTGATGCAGAAAAGCCATTTGACAAAATTCAACACCATTTTACGATTTAAAAAAACTCTACGAACAAGGAATAGAAGGAAACTCAACATAAATGTCATATATGAAAAACTAATATCATACTCACTGGTGAAAGACTGAAAGCTTTTTATCAGAAACAAGACAGGAATGCCCATTTTTACCACTTCTATTCAACATAGTACTGGAATTATCCAAAAGAGTTAGGCATGAAAAAGAAATTAAAAAGGCATCCAAACTGGAAAGAAATAAAAATATCTGTTAGTAGGCAACATATTACATGTAGAAATACCCAGAGAGTCCACAAAACACCCCCAAAACCAAACAAAACTGTTAGAATAAACAAATTCTGCAAAGCTGCAGGATACAAAAATCAGTTGCATTTGTGCATGTTAACAATCAACGATCCTAAAGGAACTTACAAAAACAATGCAATGTACAATAGCATCAAAAAGAATAAAATACTTAGGAATAAACCTAACCAAGGAGGCCAAAGACTTCTACATTGAAAACTACAAGCCAAACATGGTAGCTCACATCTGTAATCCCAGCACTTTGGAGGCCAAGGCAGGGGGACTGCTTGAGGCCAGGAGTTCAAGAGCAGCCTGGGCAACATAGCAAGACCTCAACTCTACAAAAAAAATAATTATCCAGGCATGGTGGCACACACCTGTAGTCCTAGCTACTTGGAAAGCTGAGGTGGGAAGATTGCTTGAAGCCAGGAGTTTGAGGCAAGCCTGGACAACGAAGTGAAAATCTGAATCAAAAAGAAGAACGAAAGAAAGAAAAGGAAAAGAAAACTACAAAACATTAAGAAAATTAAAGACACCAATAAATGAAGACATTCCATGTTCATAGATTCAAAGACTTCACATTATTAAGAAGTCAATACTACGCAAAATACATCTACAAATTCAATACAATTCCTATCAAAATACCAATAATGTTTACTGCAGATATAGAAAAATCCATTTTAAAATTCATATAAAATCTCAAACAGCCAAAACAATCTTGAAAAACAACAAAGTTGGAAGACTCGCACTTCCTGATTTCAGAACTTTCCACAAGGCTACAGTAATCAAAACAGTGTCATAGTGGGGACGGACATACAGACCAATGGAAAAGAACAAAGTGAGAAATCAACTCTTGCATACATGGTCAAGTGATTTTTGATGAGTGCCAAGACCATTCAATGAGGAAAATAAGATTTTCCAGTAAATGTTGCTGGGGAAATTTGATATCTATAAGCAAATGGATAAAGTTGGACCCTTATTTTACACAATATACAAAAAACAAAACAAAACAAAACAAAACACCTCAAAATGGATCAAAGACCTAAACAGAAGGGCTAAAATTTCAAAATTATAGGGCAAAAGCTTCATGATATTGATTTGAAAATAATTTTTTTGATATGACACCAAAAGCACAGGCAATAAAAGAAACAAAGTGGGATACAGCATAATTTAAATAATCTGTGCATCAAAGAATATAATCAAGAGTGAAAATGCAAACTAAAGAAAGAAAATATTTGCAAATCATACATCTGATAAAGCATTAACGCAAATACACAAAGAACTCCTACAACTCAAACCAAATAGCCCAATCTAAAAATGGGCAAATGACTTGAATAGACCTTTCTCCAAGGAAGACATATAAATGGTCAAATAGCACATTAAAAGATGCTCTACGTCACTATCATTAGGGATATGTAAACTAAAATCACAAGATACCACCTCACATCACTTAGGATGGCTACCATCAAAAAATAACAAATGTTAGCAAGCATATGGAGAAATTGGAACTCTTGTGTACTATTGGTGGGAATATACAATTGTGCAGCCCCTGTGGAAAGTGTATGTATGGCACTTTCTAAAAAATTAAAAATGGAATTACCATATGATCTAGCAATTCTATGTATATAACCAAAAGAATTGAAAAAAAAAAAAGGTGTTTTTTTAAAGTCTCTAGAAGTGAAGGAAAAAAGCATCTTGAATAAATACTTGTACACCCATGAGCACAGAAGCATTATTCACAATAGCCAAAGGTGGTGGCAACCCAAGTGTCCACTGACGGATGAATGGACAAACAAAATGTGGCATTTACACACTGGAATATTATTCAACTTTAAAATGCAAGGAAATTTGGAGAATGGATGAACCTTGAGGACATTACACTAACTGAAATAAGACAGTCACAAAAGGACAGATAATGTATGATTCCACTTATATGAGGTACCTAGAACAGACAACTCGTAAGAGACAGAAAGTAGAAGGATGGTTGCCAAGACCTTGGGGGAAGAAGAAAGGAGAATTCTTTGATGGGTAGTTGAAATTTTGTAAGATGAAAACATTTCTGAAGATGAACAATGGTTGTACAATGTGAACACTCAATGCCATCAAGCAGTAAAACTGTTTAAGATAGTACATCTTAGAACTAGAAGAAGAAGAAAAAAAGCCAGGCATGATAGTGTGTGCCTATAATCCTAGCCACTAGGGAGGAAGCAGAGGCAGAAGGATCGCTTGAGCCTGGGAGTTCAAGGCTGCAGGGAGCTATGATCACGCCATTGCACTTGAGCCGGGTGACACAGCAAGAACCCATCTCTTAACAAACAAACAAAAAACCCCACAACTCTGTATCATATCCAAGTCATCAAAGTTAACATCATCAATTCTGGGACAAAACTGAAGTCCATGTTCATGGAAGAAATATGCTTAAGTATTTGGGGCTCAAGGGGAAAGTTGTCGGCAAGTTACTCTCACGAGTTTGCAAAAATAATTTTAAGTATACACAAGATGACAGAGTCAATCTGACAAAATGTGAACACTTGGTAAATATCAGTGAGGAGTACACCAGAGTTTATTTACTATTTTTGCAACTACCGTAAGTTGGAAATATTTTCAAAATTTAAAGTTTTTCTGGCCAGCTAGGTTTGAGCTGCTGTAAAATGAATACCAAGGATCATTTATATAGAAACTAATTTTTTTCTTCACAGTACAAGAGAATCTCTTACCACTTTGAATTCCCCAGGTACGGTTTAAAACTTTATAGCTTGCCAACATCCTAAGTTTTACCCTGTAACAGTGAAATTTTCAGGTAATTGGAGCTTACCCCATTACATGACAATCATGTATTAACTTAAAAATCTTTCTTAAATATCTTTTTCGTTTTTGTTTCTAATTTGTTTTTAATAATCAGCATCTCTAAGGCTTCACTAGATGCCTGTGCTTTTTCCTTCTCAAGTGTTTGAGGGCATTTGTGTAACACTGCAGAAAGCTTAGGTTTTGTCTCCATCTAGTGGTTAGCTATTACCTTCTAATGTCTTTATGTACCCACTTTTCACAAAGCACTCACTGTATCACACTGTGCTTCTGAGTTTGTTGAAAGTAGTTCAAGAGGTTCTTGTGAGCAGTTTTGGCATGTAAACTTCATTATTTTAGCTGTTCAAAGGTCTCTGTAGCATTCAATAGTTTTGTGTTTCTGAAGATCAAGGTGCCAATCTGTATCAGAGTAGGATTTCTAAAATCAAAATAATCTAGTTGATAAAATGTTCTTGGGCCTCGTCACCTTGAACTAGAAGAGATCTCTCATAATTAAGTCTATAGAGACTATTAAAGTAATGAGTATCACAAAAATAGAGCAACAAGAAACACAGCCATAAGCTATCATTCTTCTTTCTCACATAATTGCCCTATTGCTCTAAGCTTTAGTACGTGATTTTTAGTTACATCCGTATTTCCTCGAAGGCAGTATTTCTTGATCTTTGTTGTAACCCCCCATCCCACAGAAAAATGAAAATTAAGGTAAAATAATTATCCCAAACAAGAGAAACACATTAAGATTTTGTTGGTATTCCACTTCTGCCCCAACTGAGGTACTGCAATTCAATTCTCATGCGAAATACCCAGAGCTGTCATCAGACTCCACAGGTTTAAGGGGTCTGTGCTGCACAAGACTGCCCCCACTTCAGATGCAAGATACAAGTAAGGTACCCAGACAACTGTCATTTCTCACCAGCTACAGATTTGGGGTTCCCATAAACCTCTCAGGTTTAAGAACTTCTTAAAATGACTCACAGAACTCAGGAAAGCACTATGCTTCCCTAGAAAACATTGATGAGTTTTACTATAGAAGATACGAATTAGGAGGACCAGCCAAATGAAGGGATACATAAGGGAAGGTCTGGGAGGGAAGGCAGAGCTTCTGTACCCCTGTCCTCATGGAGGGGAGTCCTCTCCCTCCCAGCACACTAATGCCTTCACCAACCAAGAAGCTTCATTGAGCTGCGGGGTCCAGAGCTCACCACGTCTCATTCGGCAGGCACAGTTGATTAAATCCAACAGGTCACTGACTTGATCTTCCTCTCCCGGGTCCTGCAGGCCCAACCCTCTGAAGTAGGTGTTTCTGGTGACCAGCCTCCGTCCTAAAGTCCATCTTAAAATCACCCTGTTAGCATAACAGAGACACTATCACTCAGGAAACCAAAAGGGTTTCAGCCATTCCTTGTCAGCAACCAGGGGCAAAGACCAAAGTCCTCATTATACCACAGTCAGGCAGGACTCAACTTCTAAGGGTCACAAACCCCTGTAATATCATAAGATTTTTTCCCAATCAACAAGAACCAATCTTTGCCCCTATTAAGAATGCATCCTCTAAGAAATGAAGAGACAGCCCCCAAACCAGAATGAAATTTTATTGTGTAAAGTTTATAGAAGTATGACTAGTATTCCTCTGTACAAAGTACACAACAAACAGTTTTAAATATAACTGAGAGAAATGTGAGTCCTATGACAACATCTGATACAGGCTGAACCATTTACAGACACACTAAAAAAATTTTTAAAATGTCTTCTTTCTCCAAAGAGTCCACTGAGCATTTCTTAGAGCACAGATGGGGACACATTCCAGGCAAAGTCACAATGGCATTTTGTTGCCCTCAATGCTGATTTTCACTGCGTGTGCAGATCTGCTTTTTTTCCTGATATCTGTGAACTTTCTCATCTGTTTATCCAGTCGACTGATACCCTTCTTGGAGGTCGCCTGAAACTAAGAGTGGGGGAAAAATTAAAGAGCAAATTATTGAAATACATAAGTCTAGTTTTGTCTTTCATCTTCTTATAACTGAAAATTAGCAATCAGAAGAGCTCCTAGCTTTAGAATAACCAGAATATGTGCTGATGACCTCAAGAACAACAGAGCAAGTAAACACGGTGTTAGAAACACATATTAAACTTTCTCAATGAAGAGTAAGTCTGTTGTCTGTGCCTTATTAATTTCGCTGCAGTCCCTGGGGAAAAAAAGGCCAGGCATGACAGTGTGTGCTTACAGTACCAGACAGTAGGGAGGAAGCTGAGGCAGAAGGATCGCTTGAGCCTGGGAGTTCTAGATGTGAGAAAGGGGGAGAAATTGAGACTATGATCCTCACAATTCCGTTATGTACATTACATTTTAACTGCCTGCTTTTCCCTTTTGAAGACCAAATGTGGGGGTAACCACTTGACATACACTTTCTTTCTTTTCTTTTCTTTTATGAGATGGAGTTTCACTCTTGTTGCCCAGGCTGGAGTGCAATGGTGCAATCTCGGCTCACTGCATCATCCGCCTCCCGGGTTCAAGCAATTCTCCTGCCTCAGCCTCCCGAGTAGCTGGGACTACAGGCACGTATCACCACACCCAGCTAATTTTGTATTTTTAGCAGAGATGGGATTTCTCCATGTTGGTCAGGCTGGCCTTGAGCTCCCGATCTCAGGTGATCCGCCCACCTCAGCCTCCCAAAGTGCTGGGATTACAGGCGTGAGGCACTGCACCAGCCTAACATACACTTTCGAACAGTGCTGGCATGAAAAAGAATGACCTAAAGCAAAGTACGTCAGCTGAGAAAAAACCTTAAGCACAATAAATGAGGTCAGATGATTAGTGAAGTGAACCCGTAAGTGCGGGAGCTGAGTTTTTTAGGCTCGGAGTGAATCCCTGCTCTGACTGAGTAACTTCCGTGACCCGGGGCAAAGCATGCCCATGCTCGGTACTCCTTCCAGAAGTGCCAGAGAAGGAAATCAGATAATGATGTCAGATCCAAGCACAGAGGCTAAGCACATATAATCAGTACTCAAAATAATGAAAGCTATTACTATTTTACTACTTCACAAGCAACTAGATTTATATTAAGTATACTTGACACAAAAAGAATATTAAGTCTACCTACTTCCCCTTATGTTTAAAGGTTTGGTTTGGGGGCTATTTTATATTTTGAAAAGATTGTCTTGCAAAGATGTGGTCTCCAAGAAAGTGCCACCTTTTAGAAACGCTAGAAAGGGGCCAGGCACTGTGGCTCACGCCTGTAATCCCAGCACTCTGGGAGGCTGAGGCGGGCGGATCACGAGGTCAAGAGATTGAGACCATCCTGGCCAACATGGTGAAACCCCATCTCTACTAAAAATATAAAAATTAGCCGGGCATGGTGGCATGCACCTGTGGTCCCAGCTACTTGGTAGGGTGAGGTGGAAGAATCACTTGAACCCAGGAGGCGGAGGTTGCAGTGAGCCAAGATTGTGCCACTGCACTCCAGCCTGGCGACAGAGCAAGACTCCATCTCAAAAAAAAAAAAAAAGAAAACGAAACACTAGAAAGGTTTGTTGACTGTACTGTAAAACAATTCAGATGTAGATGTTTAAGAAGGGTGAGTGGTCAGAAAGAGATGGGTTTTTCTAATTCTTCTCCCCATTACTACTTAATCACCTCTGAAACTCAATTCAAAAGAATGCTGAAATAAGGCAGGGCCTGGGAGACACTCTGGGGTCAGTACCAGCATGGTGAGGTTCTTTTGTGTCCGGGAGCCTTCAGAATCTTATCTCACCTCTGGACCCACTCAGCCTCAACCCCAACATGAAGCCAGCTGAGCACTGGGCAAGGAACTCGAAGTCATTCCTGCCCAAGAGCCATGTTGACCTATCTTTCCAGAAATATCTCAATTCAAGTATTATTCTGTATCAGTCTCAATACTTGGCACTAGTACTCTGAGTAGGCATAAGTGTCAGATGAGAAAGAGCTATGCCACCAACACACTATCTCCCAAATTTTCTGGACAGTCCCAAATATCGGACTTCCTTTGAAAGGAAGTCCCCTGATCTGAGTGCTCGTACTCAGTCCACCTCGGAAGCCTTACCTGCTCAGCTCTCTGCAAACTATGCAATTTCCAGCAGCTCCACACACCAACTGGACTTCTCTTCACCTACTCCCAGGACCCTCACTAACTGTCTAAACCCTGATGGATCTGCCTAGCCTTAGCAATCAGAACACACCCAGGCCAGTGGGTTACAAAATATATGACTATGTAGTTGCAGATGCTTAGTTACTCCAAGCTTGAAAAGACAAACCATAGTACCTCACACACCGAGTTCAATGATCTCCCTCCTGATTCATCAACAGAACACTACACTTCCTTGGAATTAAAAGTGTGTGGTGCACTGCTTCACCAGAGCAAAATCAAAAGCAGCTTCAATTATGGTACAACTGTGTGAAGACACAACGCGAAATCACTAAAGATTGCTTACTCAAATGGATTTTTACCATGTTAAGTAAAAAACAAACCCAACACGGTATGAAAGAATACGATCACAATGTCGCTTGGGGGAGGAAAAAAACCCACAATATTATCTATGCATACGCATAAAAAACCCCAAGAAGAAATAATAATCTAAAATGTTAACATTAAGTTGTGGTGGGATTACAGATGGCATTAATTTTATTTAGCTTTCTCTATTTTTAAAAGTTCATGAAAAAATAGGCACTGCTTTTGTCATTTGACTGCTGTTTTAAAAGTATTCCACAGAGTAAATGAACATAAAAAAATACGATGTAGCACAGGTTACTACATTATTTAGGAGTAAAAAAATCAGAAACCATAAAGCAATGAATAAACAAATTACATTCATGGGCAGGTGTGGTGGCTCCTGCCTGTAATCTCAGTACACTGGGAGGTCAAGGTCAGAGGATCACTTCAGACCAGTCTGAGCAAGATGGTGAGACCTCGTCTTTACAAAGAAAGAAAATGCAGGCTAGGCATGGTGGCTTACGCCCGTAATGTCAGCACTTTGGGAGGCTGTGGCGGGTGGATCATGAGGTCAGGAGTTCGAGACCAGCCTGGCCAAGATAGTAAAACCCCATCTCTACTAAACATACAAAAAAAATTAGCCAGGTGTGGTGGTAGGCACCCATCTCATTTATTTGGGAGGCTAAGGCAGAGAACTGCTTGAACCCGGGAGGCAGAGGTTGCAGTGAGTGGGGATGGCACCACTGCATTCCAGCCCAGTCAACAGAGCAAGACTCAGTCAAAAAAGTAAGAAGAAAGAAAATACATAAATAACTTTAAAAAAAAAAATTATATTCAGGATAGACCATTATGCAGCCATTAAAAATGATAAATCTACTAGGTGGTTTAAAGAAGGAAAATAACCAAAATTATAATTTGGTCATTTCCAGCATGTGCACATGCACGTGCACGCACACACACAAATACACATTATTATTGTTATTATTATTTTCTAGAGACAGGGTCTCCCTCTGTTGCCCAGGCTGGAGTGCAATGGCATGATTCTAGCTCACTGCAGCCTCAAACTCCTAGGCTCAAGTGATTCCCCCACTTCACCCTCTCAAGTAGCTAGGACTTACAGGTGCATGCCACCATGCCTGGCTAATATTTTAATTTTTTGGTAGAGATGGAGTCTTGCTATGTTGTCCAGGCTGATATATGGTATAATTTTAATTAAAGTATCAGTAGAAAAAAGACGACAAATATATCAAACTTTTTTTTTTTTTTTTTTTTTTGAGACGGAGTTTCACTCATGTTACCCAGGCTGGAGTGCAATGGCGCAATCTCGGCTCACCGCAACCTCCGCCTCCTGGGTTCAGGCAATTCTCCTGCCTCAGCTTCCTGAGTAGCTGGGATTACAGACACGCACCACCATGCCCAGCTAATTTTTTTTTGTATTTTTAGTAGAGACGGGGTTTCACCATGTTGACCAGGATGGTCTCGATCTCTTGACCTCGTGATCCACCCGCCTCGGCCTCCCAAAGTGCTGGGATTACAGGCTTGAGCCACCGCGCCCAGCCTCAAACTTCTTTTGAATGCTATGACCGTGACTAGTTTTTCTTTGTACCTAGAAATTTTCTATCATTATAAAAACTAAGTTCAAGGCATATCCTGAAGTACATTTAAAACCTCAAATTGTTAACAGTGGTGACTTACTGGAAGAGCAGGACTCTGGGTCACTCTATAGTGTTTTATATTTATTTACATAACTTTGAAAACAAAAATGATATTTAAGACATTAAGTATTCCATTGGAAAGCCATTTACTCACTCCATTTTTCTTTCTGGACATGCCTTTTCTAATACTACTCGTTAGCGTCTATAGTGTGGAAGCAAGTCCTGAGTGAATATGCAAGAGTGCTGAACATGGGAACGGTGTCAGATAGTTTATGAATTAATAAGCAGGAATATAACAAAGGATCCTCAGCCCCCAAAAGCATGACTTGCTGTTTTGACAGCGCTCTACAGGAAAGACTGAGGCCTTAATAAAAAACAGCATGTGGAGTGTTGGGAATGCAGGAGCCCTCCCTGAGTCTCCCGCTCCTCATGCTCTAGCAAGAGGCTAGTCACTCTTCCCACCCTGCTCTAGGTGTACAGGGAGGTGGAACCAGAACCAGCAACATCAGCACACAGGCACACAGCCCTGAAAACACAACCTATGCTTCCAAAGCAGATTGGCCACTGAGTTTTTATTACATTTTCTTTGCCAGATTGTCGTTCCCAATTCTCAAAAATAAAAATGTTAAGAAAAATATGAAAGAGGGCTAAAAAGAGAGAAGAAACAATGAAAAAGGAGAGAAGGGCAAAAGAGAAATGGGTACAAGTGACATGGAGAAGTGGTCAAGGACATGGATATGGGCATGAGCAAGAAAAAAAGAGGAGGAGAAGGAAGTTCTTGGCACACAGCTGGTCCTTCTCTACCCTTGATTTATTCTCAATACACAAGAAACTGTGTTTTGTTTTGATAGTCACTTAAAACAACGTGAAATGGCAGGTAGAAGAATGGAGCCTGTGGAAACTGCGACCAAAGCAGGGGTCATTGAGAAGCACAAAAGGCAGGCAACACAGACTGCGTGTACTCCACAGCAAAGGTGCCACATTAATCTCAAAGCACAGCCGACCAGTGAGTTGAGCTTATGAATGTTCCAAAGTCTTTTTCATTTCTAACCACACTGTGAGTACGTGTTAATCAAATTCATCTTCCAAATATTCAGTACAAGGCTTTCGGCAATGAGTCCTCAAATGCATGTAGCTGAGCCACTGACAACAGGAAAACCAGCTACCTCCTACTAAGAAGCCACTAACCAGTTATATGCCTGTAACACATATCACTATGATTCTGGGTCCTAACAAAAACCTTTCTCATAAAAATGGGTACTGGTCAGGAAGACCCAAATGCACATCAGGGAAGTAATTATCTATTAGTCTCCAGGATACTGATAAAGGAAGGGACTTCCATGTCAATTTCTAAATAGTCAAGAGGCCTTGAATATCTCAAGGTGCCTGTTAGGGTCATTATTTCAGAAACTAAAAGCAGACCTGGCATCTTCTGATTAAGAATGCACACACAGACACTTTTCACTCTGACTGCTGACAGTTCAAGCCCATGCACAGCTCATGCTTCCTTGGGGATACCTCTCATGTGTACACTGTGGTAGGGCCAGGCCTATAGGGGCATCCTGTTGCCTTCAATGCTGAACTTGACAGCACGGTGCACTTTGCTGAGTCGTTTCTGTTCTGCAAATCGCCTCTTATGCTTTTCCAATCGGCTTAGGCCCTTTTTAAGAATCCCAGGCTAGACGGTGTAGTTTGATTGGAGAATAAAAAGAGATTACTGAGAAACACTGAAGATCCACTGAGCAGTATTTACAATGATGACAGAGGAAGTGTCTACCCTAATTATTTTCTACAGAATTGCTTAAACTGTTGAAGAGAAAGGGAGAGGTAGGTCGGCTGAAGCACATAAGCTCTGTTTCTCACGGTCATTAAAAAATTCACTGTAGCAGAATACTTTAGGTTTCAAGGCTCACTTGAAGCAAAAGGAGTAATAAGAAGAAAGTTACCTACAGGATACTGTTGCATCAAGTCTGAAGAAAAGTTCATCAGCAAAAAACTTTAATCCTGGGTAATACTTTTCCTTTATCTATTGTTCAATTTGTGGTTTGGCTAGATAAGCGACCAGAAAACGGTCCTCTCTGAGTCAGACAAACCTCAAGAGCTACGAGGGTTATTAACACATGAAGTAAAGAGTAAACTAGTAATCTGCAGGTGAGATCCACCTCGCTGACCCTCCACTTGCTTACCCTGGATGACTCCATTTCCACATTCCACTTGGGCCTGACAACATAGTCCTTGTTTGAGGGCATTGGAACCCTTGCACGGGCACAGAATCCGGGATCTCCAGGTCTAAGAGCCCTGAAAAAGGGAAGAGGAAAAGCATGCTGCTTATGTAGCCAGCTATAGTGGGGCACACAGGTCATTTCACACTCCTGTTCGAGGTCCACTCATTCGGCGGCAGTATTCAAAACTCTTCTGCTCCCCACTGAAGGTCACCCCATCAACCCTCCCGCCACCGCTCAGCTAGCCTGTCATCAAACACATACTCCGGTATGCATCTCTCCCTTCTTTTCCAAAGCCAACTTGCTCTGCATTTGCATGAATCCTTTCTCCTCTCCCCTCCAGGCTCTGCTCCAACACATAGGACCATAGCCACTCATTCACCTTCACTGGCTACTCTGCCTGGCTATGCCCCCTGTCAAAAGTGTTTAGTTCATCTCTTACTCTATACTCTCTTGACTGAACAATCTTTTCTATGGAGAGAACCATTAAATCTAGGTCTCTAGTTCAAACACCTCTGCTCATGCCCCTCTGCTTTCCAAGGCTAGTCCCACCAACACGACTTGGAATCCCCTTTTCTCTTATCTAGTAGAGTCACTCGAGTTCATTTGTGAGATAAGGAATTGTGAAGAACTGAGTAAATGATCCCCCAAAACTCTCAGTATGCCCATAAAATAGTTTTTCCATATAAAACTCATACAGTATTTTTTCATGTTTTTGTAAAAATTTTTTGAAGATAATTACAGATTCAAATGAAGTTGTAAGAAATGGTACAGAGAGAGATCCAACATCTCTCCCAATAGTAACAACTTGCAAATCTACAGTATAATATCACAACCAGGATACTGATGTTGACACAGCACACTGATCTTATCTACATTTCCCCAGTTTTATTTGCACTCATTTATGTGTGTGTATTTAGTTCTATGCAAATTTGCGGGCAACTATACTAGACTACAGTGAGAGATTACTATCCTTCCAAAGTAAAGCCTATCCATAGATGCCTGGGCATTCAAACAATCCAGCCTTTAGGTAACTAGTAAAGAGTGGATCTATGTGTGTCTGTTGGGGATGCAGAGAGAAGGGTAAAAAATTCTCAATTGTTTCTAGTCTCTTGTACAGCTTACCCAATTTTTAACATTAAACGTTTATAACCTTCATATATATGTGAACAGATTAATTGGTTTGCCAAGAAAATTCCCTTTAACTCTTCCTTCCTAAACAAACTTGCTTCTTCTAACTCATCCCCTACTCTCCTCTTGCAATCCAGATGCTGCCTGACTACCAACTCACCTGCACAAAGCCCTCTGCAGCACCTGCCACTGGCCCACGCTTTTGCCACTGCCACCTCCAGCTCAGCGTCATTCCCCTCCAGGCTCTGCTCCAACACATAGGACCATAGCCACTCATTCACCTTCACTGGCTACTCTGCCTGGCTATGCCCCCTGTCAAAAGTGTTTAGTTCATCTCTTACTCTATACTCTCTTGACTGAACAATCTTGTCTATGGAGAGAACCATTAAATCTAGGTCTCTAGTTCAAACACCTCTTTAAATTCCAAGTTCCAGACTCATAATATTTATAGGACTATCTCACAGGCATCTCATATTTAATATGCTCAAAAGAGAACTTGCCTGTGCCCTCAAATCTACTTCTCCCTCCATTTTGGTGAAAGGTAATAAACACTGTCTCAGCCCTTAGGTTAAAATTCTGGCTGAGGTTTAACTCCAGCCATCTTCTCTCCCACTAAGTCACCAACCTATGACAGCTTTGCCTCTGCAATGTCTTCTCACTCCTTTGCTCCCCTACTACCACCTCTGTTTACCTGTATCACTGCCTCAGTTCCACTGCCCTCCAACCCATCCTACACGATGTTTGATTTGATTTGGGATGCTAGGCGTCAGCATCCTAAATCAAATCAAGCCAAATGGCTTCACATCCAGCCTCAAAAACTTCCTGTGGAATGACAAGGCACATGAAAAGTCCTTATCCTGATTCAAAGCCCTTCACCAGTCTACTATTTCCAACCTTATCTTCTACCACCTCAGGCCTCATACTACTGCCCAACCCCTTCAGTCCGTCTACCTGCCATTCCAAAAACACACCTGGCACACTTACCCTATGGCTTTACCAAAGCGCTCCCTTTGCCTAACATCCTTGTAAAGACTTACACTTTTTGAGAGCATACACTATTTTTAATTTGCTTTTATATTCTCAGGGCACAACAAGGAGCCTAGCACTAAGCAAGCAGCAACAAAATTTTTATATAATGAATTGTTTTCACAATTTTCTTTACATCCCCAGAGTACCAGTATACAATGCTTTGTAGACTGTAACTGTTAAACTGAAAGTCACCTCTGCAAACGTTAACATAACCTCATTTCATTTACTACTTCTCTCAAAACAAAGCAGCAAACAAATTCTCTATATGGTCTAGGAAGAAAAATTAACATTAAAACCTTACTTCTCCTCTCCTGTCAGCACCTTTTCCAGGTCTCTTCTGGGTGTCTGACCACCAGTGCTGGGAAAAAAGTTAAAAAGGAGATACCAGGAGTATTAGAACCTTGTAACTCAGAAAAAGGGCAAATAAAAATAGCAAACTTAGACCGTAACTATTAATAGCTCTCTTATGTTGGCTCAGGGAAAATAACTGCTAATCTTTAAAAAGTACTACTCATTTTAGTGTTCATTTGCATACCAAGTTTCCTTATGGGTGAGCCGTAACTGCCACATTTGTAACTAATAACCCTGTCCTCATGGGTGCAACTGTATATCCACTATGTTGATACAAATCAAACCAGTAACATTTTTTCTCTTCTAGGAACTTGGAAATGGGACCCAGAAAGTTGTTTTCTGCAAGTTGCTGGAACAACACGAGCAACACAAGCAATCAGAAGCGTGAGAGGCCCTGTTCCAACAAGCTGACCCAAAAAGGTCTGGTTAGGAGGAGAGGACACTCACTACACACTATCACATTTAAACTAAACTAGAAGGATATTATGAATTATGGAGACATATCGAGCTGAGAGGAAAGGAAATCCTATCACCTTGCAGTTTTCCTAATGACCTTACTTAAAACTGAGTTACTGCAACAATAACATACATTGCACTTACTCATACCTGTTCCCTCATACCTGTTCATTCTTCGTCGCTGAGGCATCTGTTCTAGATCTCTCTGCTCCCTTTCCTCTCTTGTCATTCCTTTGTAGTTTGAGGTAAGACCAAATATAGGCCTAGACCACTCATCTGTATTAAGAAAAAAAGTCAATTACTTCATCCATAAAATTGCATTTCCTCTACCATTTTTTCAAATAATTGTACCCCAGTGTGATGTGATATTCTAGACATTTAGAATATTCTTTCCTTGAAGACTCCATTATTTCAGAATAATTTATAGAATAAACAGAGCATAATGCCACCAGCATCATGACTAACTCTGGTTGATTCAGAAAATTTAATGTAAAAGATCACCACAGAGATTTAAAGAAAGTAACACGTGACACACTTTGATAATCAACAAATTGGCTGCACTGACATTTCATAAAACACATTTATTTATAATTTTTATTTATTTTAAAAGGCAGACTAATTTCTACATTTACTGTACTGGAAATAAAAAGTCTTGAAATTCTGCTTTCTTACCCTAACCAAAAACAAGCTCCCTTACTACCTTACAAAATCATCTATATCTTTAAAATTTACAGTGTAATAGTGTGGGTGGAGAGTTTGTACTTCATTAAGTCTAATATAGCCGCTACAATGACCATGAAAGAAAGTACATGCCACTGTTCAGTCAGTCAAAGTCCAGGAGCCAACTGATGCCTTTGTTCTGAGATACAATGTAGCTTACTGCTACATTTAATACACTACAAAAACAAGAAAGGACCTTTATAGACCGACCATAGGTGTTGTCCCACAAAGGAGGAGGCAGGGATTCTCAGGGGGTCTACATATCTTTTAAAATCACCCTACTGACCCCACTTCTGGATTCAGAATCACTGCCATAGTATGTCATGGATACCAGCGGGGATATTCTGCTTTTTTCAGTCTAGGGCAAAAAAAGAAAGTTGCAAACCACTGCATAAAAGTACCAAAAGTTTATCACTTAATAGGCAGTAAACTGCAGATTACTAACAAGATCAAAGATGGCAGTATATCTCTGGTTTATACAAGAAATTTAGATTTCTTTAAAAGCTTCTGATAACAATTCAAAGGAAAAATAATTATTGTATTCAATCGTAGTAGTTACTTTTTCAATCTAGCCTTGAAGTTCTAAAACTTTCTTTCAACGTGGAGCACAGGAGGAGTTAAGGAATGTAACAAAAACGAACATGGGTTTCACTCTTAAAATTGAAGAATTTTATAAACAATATGGTGCTTGATTACATAAATTTCAGTTTAGACTTCTCTGGAGCTCTCTGGCATCATTAAATAAGAACATGCAAAAAGGTTTTAGAGACCACCATGCAAGTAACAACAGCAACAGTGGCTGTTTCTTGAGTACTTACTATGTGCTAGGCACCGTGCTGCAGACACAACCTCTCATTTAATCTTTAAAGTCACCCAAAGAAAACACATAATTATCTCAATTTTACAGAGCACAAATCACTAGCTACGAAATGCAGTAGGGTAGGTGGTGGATTCATGATCTGAACCCAGGTAATATCAACTCCACGGCCTGCAATCTAACTCCTCTCTCCATGCTCTTGACGCATGACTAGAAAATGCGTACTTTTTACTTGCTATTTTTAATACTGAATAGCATACTTAAATATACTAAGAAGCTTTTAAGTCTAAGAAAAAAGGCTAGTAACTATAAGCAGTTATACAAAAATTTCTATTCCACTTTACTGACTCATTTAAAACAAATATCGGTAAAAATATAGCTTTTATATACACACGTCTCTCTCTTATCTATAGACATAAATACAACAAACGAAAAGGAAAATTTACATACTGATTAATTTTCCTGCCATGTCCTTGTTGGACCTTGATTCCTTGGGGTGTTTATAGAGATACATCACTGCTCGTCCAATCCCACTATGCTTCAGGGTCTCCTGGCTCACACTAGGCAGCTGGGGAACACAAACACATACACACATATTAATCACTCAGAAGCCAGGAGTCTTGCTAATTTATTCCAGAGACCTGGTTCATTCACAATAGAACAAATAAAAAATTCCATTTTCAGGATCTACAGACATAGAACACAAAGATACTTTGTGCCCACATCAAAAGTTCAGAGTTCAGGCTGGGTACAGTGGCTCACGCCTGTAATCCTAGCACTTTAGGAGGCCAATGCGGGTGGATCACCTGGGGTCAGGACTTCAAGACCAGACCGGCCAGCGCAGTGAAACCCAGTCTCTACTAAAAATATAAAAATTAGCCAGGTGTGGTGGTGGGAGCCTGTAATCAACGCTACCTGGGAGGCTGAGACAGAAGAATCACTTGAACCCGAGAGGCAGAGGTTGCAGTGAGTTGAGATCATGCCACTGCACTTGAAGCCTGGGCAACAGGATCGAAACTATGCCTCAAAACCAAACAAACAAAAAAACAAAACAAAAACGTTGAGAGCTCATCAACTTCAACAGCTGAGTTGAAGTTAAACCTAACAATGTGGACGGGCGCGGTGGCTCACACCTGTAATCTCAGCACTTTGGGAGGCTGAGGCGGGTGAATCACAAGGTCAGAAGTTCAAGACCAGCCTGAAAAAGACGGTGAAACCCTGTCTCTACTAAAAACTACAAAAATTAGCCAGGCGTTGTGGCAGGCACCTATAACCCCAGATACTGGGGAAACTGAGGCAGCAGAATTGCTTGAACCCAGGCAGCAGAGGTTGCAGTAAGCTGAGACCACACCACCGCACTCCAGCCTGGGTGAGAGTGAGACTTCATCTCAGAAAAAGAAAAAAAACTAACAATGTGAGAAAGTAAAAACTACGCATACTCAGAGGTTAGCGGTTTAATACAGGAGCCAGCACAGGCCTCTGAATCCAACACACCTAAGACTGAACCCAAGCACAGCCACCTTCTAGCTATGTGACCATGACAAGTCATTTAACTTCTCTGAATCTTAATTCCCTCATCTATAAAATGGAACTAATACACCTACCTTCTCAGTTTACTGTGAGGAATAAATGAACCAATACATATATAAAGCACCTGGCACAGTGCTTGGCCTAGGAGGTTCCTTGGGAATTCCTTCAGAAGTTAAAATAGCTTGCCCAACGTGTCACAACTACCTAAGGTGGCCCAGCTCAACATTCAAATGCAAGTTCACCTCACTCTGAATTTGGTGTTCATTCTACTTCAAACGTCTCCCCAGAATATGCCCACTACTGTACTACTCATCTCAGACACATCACAGCTGCTCTAGGATTTTTTCCCTTCAATACTATAGTTAAATGAAGTTTTATAAGGTATTCCCTTTTTCACTCATTTTATCAGATATGTTCCTTTTTTCCCACCCCTCTTCAGGCAGACTGTAGCAGAGAGAACATATAAAAACACTGTAAACTACAGAAGTTATGACAATATGGATCACATTAGATAATTAATAAAGAACAGTCAGATTATCTGCCTCTAACCTCTTGCAGGATCTTTAGCAGCTCCTCCCGGATCTTGAGTGCGGGCAAACTCCTATCTGGTAGAGGTGAGAGCCATTCTTTGATAGCAGACATCACACCACTGTCAATGAATGTTTCTTTAAGGTCCTGCCTGCAGTAATAACAATAATTTTTTTTTTTTTAATTTTGTTAACCTTGGTTCTACTGTATCTTCTGACTTTCTTACATATTTAGTAATGTTTCTAAGAACTGCTTTTAAAGAGTTACTCATATAAATTTTATATTTACTGAACACCATTCTGGTTTCAAAAGCAGTATGACATTTAGTTCTTATTTTCACAAACACATATACTTGACAAAGATGATTTGCTAAAAACAAAACAAACTCAAGTTACAAAAGACAAATTAATGCTGATGTAAATAGTACAGACAGTAAGAACAATTAACTCTAATCATTTCAACTAAAAAAAAAAAAAAATGCTCAATCTCTCAGAATAGTGATTTTTAAAGGTAAACCCAGAATTGCTATTCTCTGCAGCACACCAATGAGACTAGCACTCTCCTGGTAAGATACACAAAAAAACCACCTAAATAAAGAATACTTAAATTCCATTTTATGTACTAGAATCAGTTATGCTAACAGAAAACATGATACATAAAACCTGCCACAGACAGTTTTCCCTGTTAGAACAGAGGGAGCCATTTTCTAGTTACAGATGTTCTAGGCCACACTGGTGATGGCTCACCAATACATTTCCTCAGTCATCAAAAGTAGTCCATGGCTTGGTTCAAACGGAAAGCAAGGCTGCTTAGAAATATGAGCAAATCAGGGCCTGGCATAGTGGCTCACACCTGTAATCCCATTCCAGCACTTTGGGATGCTGAGAAGGGAAGACAGCCCGAGCCCAGGAGTTCGAGACTACCCTGGGCAACATAGTGAGATTTCATCTCTAATTAAAAAAAAAAAAAAAAAAAAAAAAAAAAAAAAGCAAATCAATGAAAAAATTGGAAACAAGGATCTACTAAAAAAGGGCATTATTACTTCAGAAGGATCGATAATTGTGACATATTAGAGTTGTATAAGCCTTGTACAATGCAGCCTTCAGATAGGGTCTTCCAAGATTTACTATTTTCCATCACACGGACAAAACAGATGCAATTTTACCAGACCAAAAACTGTCTATAAAGAACAAAATGAGTCGCCAGGTGCAGTGGCTCAGGTCTGTAATTCCAGCACTTTGGGAGGCTGAGGTAGGAAGACTACTTAAGCCCAGGAGTTCAAGACAAGCCTGGGTAACATAGCAAGATCCTGTCTCTACCAGAAAAGAAAAGAAAAAAACAAAAAATTAGTAGTTTCCAAGTTTTTCTTTCATTAGTATCAATTTTTTATTTGTTCTGTTTGTACCAGAATTCAAGGTTTAATAAAAAACTTATGAAGAAGTATAATTTAGGAAATTTTAAACATTATCTTTCTGTGAACTGACAGAAGGCTAACATTATTTAATACTCCTAGACCACCAGTACATCATTTGAATTATCATTCCCTTAAAAGGGAAAAGACATTTTAAAGAAAACAAAATACTTACTTCTTAAGGTGCATAACTACAGTAGGCAATAAAGTTAATTTTTTCAGTGCCGGCTTTTTTTGATTGTTCAACTGTCTGTCTTCCTATTCAGAAAAAAATTAAGATTTTTTTAAAAGCAGTACTCATTATTAATATTGAATTCGCTGTAATTCTGAACCTTAAAATTATAGTTTTTCAAAGAAATAATTTTTCCTACAAGAAAGAATAACGTTAGAATGGATCTTTTGCAGAGCATCAAGCTCTGTATCTACGTCAGTCAAACCCACAAAACTATCAGAGTAATTGCCTTTAACAACTACAAATTGAGAGAAACAATTTTAATTTATAATATCAGCATAATTATCAAGTATTCAGAGTTCATTAAAAGCATAAATTTTAAATGGGACATTTTGCTTTATTTTATAGCAACAATTCTTCAGGTATGAGGTTATATGATATTGGAATACATTATATCAAAGAAGAGTTTCAGTATTTACTTGGGCAGTTTTTTCTATTTTTTTAATTATGGAAAATTTCAAATTCTAATAATATACCTGCTGCATACATTTCAACAATTAAACACACACAGCTAGTCTTCTTTTAGCTACTTTCCCTCCATTCTTGAATTGTTTGGAAAGAAATGCTAGACACAGATCATTGAATCCACTGCTGAATTCTCACCAAGTGTTTCCAAAAGATCTGAACTTATTTTTTAAACATACCACTGGGCCAATTTTTATAATTTGAGCAGATTTATAAAATGCAATGAAGGAAGCTGTGTCTTGGTCAGGAGCAAGAAAATGACACACCAATTTATAACACCTTTTATATACGAAGAAACAAAACTTTGTGGTGAACTAGCCAAACGAGAACAAAACCATTTCCAATGAAACTAGCAAACCCATTCACCTAAAATGTCTCATTTTACTGAATACTTAACCTTCTCATTTTTTCTAAATACTTGACTAAAAAAGTAAAATATTTCCATGATTAAAATTTAGAACACTAAAAGCTTTATTACAAAAAGCAAAGCATCTTAACTGTAGTTTAAGGGTTAAGTGTCAAAAAAAAAGGGCATCCAGTAAACTCAGTGGAAGGAAAAAACGGTGAACCCAGAAGCGACCCAACTCACCTCAGCAGCTTCGTTCATCTTGACGATCATGGCACTCACAACGTCGTCTGCGTCACTAATAAAGGTGCCACCATCACGGTTCCGTCTGCGCTTGCCACTCATGCTCTTTTTTCGCTGCAACATCATCTCAAAATCCGACAGAAAGTCCATACTAAAGCAGTAAACAAAAGCAAGTAAAATCCAAGTTGTCTTTTAAATACACATTTACTTTTACCACAATTAAGAACACCAAATTTCTTAATTCTAACTCAATGAAGTGCTACCTTCTTTTAAAAGTGCAAGTACAGTCATGCGCCGCATAACGATGTTTCGGTCAGTGACGAACTGCGAATACGACGGTGGCCATCCAGTAAGCTAAGGTTAACTTTTTATTGAAGAAAAAAAATATTTTTTATAAATTTAGTGTAGCCTAAGTGTACAGTGTTTATAAAGCCTATAGTAGTGCACAGTAATGTCCCAGGCCTTCACATTCACTCACCACTCACTCAAACCAAATTCCAGTCCTGCTTTCATTCACGGCAAGTACCCTAAACAGGTAGATCATATTTTATCATGTATGTGTACACACACACATACATACACACACACACACACACACACACACACACACACACACACACACATATTTTCAAAGAGCTGGAGTGTTGCTTTGTCACCCAGGCTGGAGGACAATCATAGTTCCCTATAGCCTCAAATTTCTGGGCTCATCCTCCTACCTTAGCCTCCTGAATAGTTGAGACTATAGGCCCATACCACCATGCCTGGCTGATTTTTAAAATGTTTTATAGAAACCGGGCCTCTCTATATGCCACCCAGGCTTGTCTTGAACTCCTGGCCTCAAGTGATCCTCCTGCCTCAGCCTCCCAAAATGTTGAGATTACAAGTATGAGCCATCACACTCAGCTACACTGTATTTCAACTGTACCTTTTCTATGTTCAGATACACAAATACCATTGTGTTGCCACTGCCTACAGCATTTGGTACTGAAACATGCTGTGCAGGTTTGTGCCCTAGGAGCAACAGGCTCTACCATACAGCCTAGGTTGAGTAGTAGGCAATACCATCTAGGTTTGTATAATACTACGATGTTCACACAACAACAAAATTACCTGATGACACATTTTTCAGAATATAACCCTGTTAAGCGACGCATGACTGTACTTATAATTTGCTATTAAAAGAACAGTTGATCTTACACTTTATATTCAATTCCCGTATTACCATGTTATATGTATACATATAAATCACTAATAGCCCTGAACCTTTCATGCACTATATTCATATTTGCATCTATCAGTTTGAGACAGAACATTTTAAGTTCCAATTCAGGGGACTCACTCAGCTTTAGTGGGACTGCCTTTTTTTGGACTAGGAAGGTGTTCAATTATTTGAATGCTGTTGTCTTATATAGCACAAGTAGAAAAAATAAAAAATAAGCCGGCACTTTTCAGTGATAAGTATAACTCTCAAAACATAATGAGAGATACACATGAAAATCTAAAGGCTTGCTAACAGCCTCAAACCTTTATGGCTTTCATCAGAATCAACACACTTAAAAAAGAGGGAGTTAGGTTATTCTCTGCCACTATCATATCAATTCAATTTCCAAAAGTACTGCCAAACTCATTCAGCTTAATTACTGGATGCCACCAGGAGTTCAAAATGAAACTATTTTTTAAAAGCATCTTTACAACCGGAAACAGTAACTAACCATTCTATTATTCTATGACATCTTTTAAGATAACATATTTTTCTGAACATAGATTCCAGCTAGCTCAACAAAAACGAATGAAATATGATCAAGTAATATTCTGTAGTTAAGAGGTTAGATTTACTTCCCCTGCCCCATAAAATCAGCTTTTCTCTCAAAAAGGTATTTTAAAAATTAGGTTATTTTTCATAAGAGTTTATTTGGTGAGCCATAAATTAAGTCTGGTGCCATATAAATACAACTCCACAAAGTAAGGCATCTGAGCCCAGGGTAAATGAAAGACAAATAACAGCAGGTAATTCACCGACAACACCGTAAATGGAGAAGTAAAATGGAGAAAAACAGGAATAGATCTATGCCTAAACTTAATCAGGAACCGAAATAAAAAACAAAAGAAAGTTTAATAGTTTCTACCTTGATTTTTTTAACTTCTCTCAAACAAATTCCTTAAAAACAAACTTACTGTTTTCCTCTCTTTATGTTATCATCAGAATCTGAATCTTCTGCTTCTTTTACCTGTGTTTCACTTTTTTCTTCTTCCAGGTCTTCTTGGTTAAAACCCTAAATGCAAAATTATCACAGGCTCCTTACAGATTTTCTTCTGCTTAAGTGTTCTTAATATTTTCCATGTTAAATAATACATTCACAAAGAACAAAAATTCAACAGATAGCAAAAGGTACATAACAAAGGGTCCCTTCTCCAGCCATTAGTGTTACCAGATTTCCTGTGTTTTCTTCCAGAGATAGTCTACATATAAGCACTTCTACACATATATACTTCATACCATCTCTTATTATACAACCGGAAGCAGAATATTCAGAGTGGGTACAAGATAATGCTCTGCACATTCCAAATTTAACAAAAGAATCTAGAGGCCAATCCGTGTCAGTATTAAGTACTGTCATTCTTTTTAAGGCTTTAGACTACTTCACCACACGGCTGTAACCAAAATTTGTTTACTTATTTGCCTAGTGACATTTAGTTTTATGCATTCGAAATTCTGCGAAATACTTGCCAAACCATCTTCCATAAAGGTTATACCAATTATCTCTCCAGCAAGTATGAGGACTCCCGTTTCCCTACATTCTCACTACCACAGCAGGTTATTAAATGCTGATATCCACTAATCTCTGGACTGAAAAACAAACCTCAGGGTAGCTTTATTTGCATTTTCCTACCAAGGGTGTAACGTTCAGCATTTGTTCATGTTTACAAAGCCATTTGTCATTCTTGCCCTGTGAACTCTCAATATCCTATGCCCATTTCTTGCTAGACTGTTCATCTTCTTCTTAATAGTATGTAAAATCTCTTTGAAAATTAGAGATAACAGTATATAAAATCTCTTTGAAAATTCCCTCTATAAGAGACAGGAACTGTACAAACCCCACATTTGTACAGTTTGGTTTTGTTTATGCTAATATTTGCCAGGAACAATTTTTCATTTTTATGTAAATGAAATGGCCAGTCTTTTCTTTATAGCGTCTAACTTTTGTGTTATACTTAGAGGCCTTCCCAATGGTTCACCTAGTACATTTTCTCACTGAACTGAAACTATAACCAAGTTGATGTTAAGTCTCCAAAATACGTAAGTATACCTTATTCTTGCAATATGGTGCTTAACTAAGTATGAGCTCCATGAAGGCAGTGTCTAAACAGTCTTAAAACATTTGTTGAATGAATTCTTCCTTTATATTTTCCTTAGGTTTACTATTTCACTATCGTCCTGAATGAGATTCTAAATTCCTCTCCCTCACCTTCTATTCCATTAGTTAAGAGTAAGTATTGATTTCTTTTTTGACCCAAGAACCATTTAACAAGGCTTCAAGTTTCCGAGTGGAAACAGATTGAAAAAATATATACAGACACTTGATATATGACAAAGATGGCACTACAGAATAGTAGGAAAGGATGATCTTTTCAATAAATGGTGCTGGGTTGACTGCCTATTCCAAATAAGAAAAAAAGTCTTGACTTTTACCTATGCCACATACGATACGATTTCTAGGTGAATTATACAATTAAATAATCAAGCTGCTAGAAGATAACTTGAGAGAGTATCATCATGATCTCGGAGACAGGCAAAAATTCCTAGGCAGAATTCAGTTTTCACCATAAAGAAAAAGATTGGTAAATCTGATCCTATGTTAAAATTAAGCACTTTTGTTCATCAGAAGACTCCATGTTAAAGGAATGAATTTAAGATATTCTAAAAAAAAAAAAAAAAAAAATTTTTTTTAAAGACTCTATTAAGAAAATGAAAAGTATTTTTAACTTTCATAACTGCAAGGGGATTATATCTGGATTATACAGAGACTCTTCCCTGTTTTTTTCAGTCTGCTTCTTCTGCCAGTTACATTTCTCTTAAGATTATGGATTTGCCCATTTCTTTTTTCGGTTCTATCAACTTTTGTTTTTTATGTTGTGTATGTATATTTAGGTAGATATTTAAAGTCATGTTACTCAGTACAATTTTTAAATCTTTTATCAATATAAAGTGACCTCTTTATCTCAAGTAAATTTTTTTTTTTTTTTTTTTTGCCTTAACGTCTACCTCCCTCTTTTAAAATACAGACATCACACCAGTCTTCGTTTGGTCCATGTTTACATGACGTCCCTGTTCCTACACCTTTATTTTCAGCTTTACCTTCTGTTTCACACAAATCTCTTGAAATCAGTATACAGCTGGTTTTTAACATCCTGGCTGGCCATCGTTGTCCTTTAACTGGAACATTTAGTATATTTACATTTAATTTAATTTCTGATGTTATCAAAATTTAAATCTGCTATTTTACCATACTACTTTCTAACTGTCCCTTGTCCTACAGTTCTTTTTCTCTTTTCCTGCTCATTTTCGACTGATTAGCTTTAGCTGTTCCACTTTTCCCTGTTAGTTTAGAAATTAGTCATTCCATTTTAGTCTTTTTAGTGGTCACTTGAAAGACTACAACATGTACCCTAACTTATCAGTTTACTAATGTACATTCGTATCCATTTGCAAAGGCCTGTGAGCACTTCAATTCCATGTATGCTCCCAATTTATTGCTGTCATGCTTTAATTGTATACATAGTCCACATTAACTATTTTGTTTTGCATAGTCAATACTCATTTAGACTTATACACATACTTTTGTTGCTCTTTTCTCACTCCTGCATCTCTAACCTTCCATCTTTCTTTTCAAGATCATTCTTTCTTGAATTTCTTTCCTTCTGTATTTCCTTCAGCTGGTACATTGTTAATTAACTCCCTCCTTATTTCATCTTCATTCCTGGAAGGTATTTTTGCTAAATGTAACAAAATTCTAGGTTTGCAGTTAGTACATTGTATTGTTTCTGTTGAGAAGTCAGCTGTTAGAGTCTAATTGTTGCTTTTCTGAACTTATTTTTCCCCCCAGTGGCTGCTTTTAAACTTGCCTATTTTCTTTGGTTTCCTGCAGTTTTATGATGTATTTATGTGTATATTCCTTTTTATCTTCCTTGCAATGTGTAGGACTTCTAGAATCTATGGTTTAGGTATTGTTTCTTTTAAAAGTACTGCTTCTGCTATATATGTATTTTTCCCTCTCCTTTTATTATTCCAATTTGTTGTGAAAACTTTTCATGTACAGTCTCTGTCTTTCACTTTTTTCTATAATAGTGTATCTCAAAGTTTCATTCTAGATCTCTCCTTCTAAGGTATCTTCCAGTTCACTAATTCTCTTTTCAAGTGTGTCTAATCTGTTGTTAAACTCATCCACTATGTTTTCTGGGGTTTTTTCCCCGTTTTTCTTTTCAAATAGGGCTTCAGTATTCTGCCCTGGCTGGTTTCGAACTTCTGGGCTCCGGCTACCCTCACGCCTCAGCCTCCCAAGTAACTGGGACTACCAGCTACTTGCCCCTACCTGTCCACCAAATTTTTAATTTCAGTTACTGTATTTTTATAGTTCTAAAATTTCTACTTAGTTCTTTTCCAAATTTGCCTTCTCCTTTTGATAACATTTTTAATCTTGTCTCTCATCTCCCTGAACATATTTAAGGTGATATCTAAAATTCCTATATCTAGAGCCCTAAGTCGATTTCTATTGTCTGTCACTACCACTGTTTCCCTTTAATGTTATCTTTGTGTATCATACTGTATATATGAAAAACTTAAATCTTAAGTTAAAACTTAATCTTATTTCTTAGACTGAGGTTCTCTAGTCTGCTAGAAGATTCAAAGATGGCCCAAAACCTGAGAAAAATTTTTTACCTCTAGTTCCTCTTGAATCCTATGGTACTGCTCTCTCAAGTCTCAGTCCACGGTATGGTGTTTACAGAGCCCCCTAACCTCAGTAGGCCCCGAACTCCAAATTTTGTCCCCAGGCCTTGAGGCTGTCAAAAATATGAGTAGCCCCTCAGCCCAACAGGCAAACATCCCCACAGAAAAAGCACTTCTAAACACTGAGTTACACTTTAGGTTTCTTTTGACTTAATAATTCTTTGTTACTTTGTTCCTAGACAATGAGCAGATTTCTACATATTTTGTCTAGCTTTTCTAGTTGTGCTTGACAGAAAGGTTAGTCCAAATCACTCAGAACACCATCATGAAAATGGGAAGTTCCCTAACTTTGTGAATCTTGCCCTTTAGCATTACAAAGTGCCTTTGTCTCAACATGTCCCTTCCGCCTTAATTCAATTTTGCCCATTAGCTTCCTTTTATGCTTTTGTTTATACCCTTTTATTTTACTTCCTGAGTCCCTGTTCTAGATTTTTCTCTGGAATACATTACACTTATTAGAATCATCTATAATGGCATCACCGCCATAAAAAAAAAAGAAAGCACGGTGAAGGAGGACTTATTTCCATCTTATACTTACTGTAAATTCTTCTTCCTCTTCATCACCAGATTCACCAAATATGTCTGCAATAAGATTTCTGGAAAGTAGACAAATATAAAAACATTCATTTGCTTTCTTCTCATTTGCATGGGAACCATTTTTAAGAAACAGGATTTAATTTACATACAGTAAAATGTGCAGATCTTCAGTCTCCAGTTCAATGAGTTTTTAACAAATGTATACATTCAAGTACCGGCAACCTATACACTCATGTAACCATCTCCGCAGAAAGTTCTCTCATGGCCCCTTCTAGTTGGTCCCCTAATATCGACATCCTTGACACAACTGCCACCTTGACCTCCAACACCACAGACAAATTTTGCCTACAGAACTTCATGTAAATGGAATCCTAATGTCCTCTTTGCTTTCTTTCATTTAACATGCTAATTCTGAGGTGAATTCTGATATTCATCCAGGTTGTAGTGTGTTCAGTTCAGGAACTAAAACACTAAATCCCCAAAGTCATGCAATTGGGCAGGACATATATTCTCACACAAACCCTTCTCTACTGCCTAATTAAGAACCCCTGAAAATTCACATCATACTGCCACTTACTCTTCTTCATTGCCTGACTCACTGTCACTCCCAAACAGATCCTTCTCCTCATTTTTCTTATCAGACAATTCTTTTCCCGCTTCTTCCTCACTGTCAGATGCTACGGTCTTCTCTCTTTTGCCTGACTTGTCTGATACAGCATCACTGTCAGAGTCATCTGCATCAGAGACAACACGACTCTTCTTTGCTGCTGATGAAAAAGAAAATCATCATTAATTTTATTTTACCACGGTCATTGCATTACTAAGCATAACAAGTGCTTTAACATGGCAGTATGCTGCCAAAAAAAAAAAAAAAATCAAAAATCAAAGGGCTTAAATCAAAGGGCTTCCTGACACATGGTTTAGAATTTGTAAAATAACTAAATGGCTCTTTCAGAGTCATCTTACAAATTACGTGTTAATTTGCTTAAGAAAAAGTGGCCAAAAGATGAAGAAAGATATCATCAATATAAAAGTGGGTGTCAACAACTACCTTTCCTTTGGGGGAATTGAGAAAATTAAAACTAGATTGTGGCTGGGCGTGGTGGCTCATGCCTATAATCCCAGCACTTTGGGAGGCTGAGGTGGGCAGATCACGAGGTCAGTAGTTCAAGACCAGCCTGACCAATATGGTAAAACCACATCTCTACTAAAAATACAAAAAATTAGCTGGGCATGGTGGCGCACGCCTGTAGTCTCAGCTTCTCAGGAGACTGAGGCAGGAGCATGGCTTAAACCTGGGAGGCAGAGGTTGCAGTGAGCTGAGGTCACACCAGTGCACTCCAGCCTGGGCGACAGAGTGAGATTCTGTCTCAAAAAACACAACTAGATTGACGGGCAAAATTGGCATTCTTTCTATGTTGCCTAGTAGTAAGTGAACTAAAAAGTACTATGTATTTCCTTCTAGGAATATTCTCCATGTTCTTCTATCATTGCTGGTCAGTTTGAAATTTCTCATCTTACTTAACAAATTGACAACATGTCTGGTACTTTTTTTCCTTCTCCTATAAGAACTGTCAGGTTATAATGAAATATGTATTTTCCAAAAAAAGGTAAGTTTCATAAAAAAGTCAGCATGTAAAACTTATTATCGGTGAAAATGGAGTCTTAGGTAGCAGTGACTGAAACACTCTGCAGAGATGGTGTTTCTACATAGAAACCCCTCAAAGCCTCCCTGTATCTGAATATTCAAGAATGTTTAACAAATGAAGAGACGTACCTATGGGAGCTCAGTTACTGTTTGGATGGGATCTAGTGAACTATGTGTCAAAGAGACCCATGGCTAACTTGGAATACAGTTAGGGCTTTTCATGTAAACATATTTCTTTGAAACATTACCTCTTCCAGTTTAAAAAACAAAACTGAGAATTTTATATTCCCATTGACATGTGGTTTAACTTATCACTCTAAGGCAGTCAGAGATTAATGCGCGCTAACAGAGCTCAAAGGAAACTTACTATTAAGCTTAGACTATGATAACCAGGGGAAATGAGTATCCTAGTGATATTTTAGAATATTAAGCTGAGTAACAGAATACAGGTCTGACATACCAAGAGGATACAATGTGCCACAGTTACAAGCTTAGACAATGAGTAAAGCCAGTGATAAACAGCCCAAAGTAATTCCTTACATGCTTTCTCTTCATCTTCACTATCAGAAAGCACAGCGGCTTTTCTCTTCGCTACTTTCTCCTCCTCACCCTCTTTTTCATCTTCATCACTGTCCATTTTTTGCCTTTTGAGTTCTTCCTCCTCACTATCAGAACTGTGAAACTTTTTTCTGTCCATATGGCTGTCTGAATGGACAGAGTCATTCTGCATTTCTGTATCCTCTCCCTTATTCTCCCTGTCGCTGTCATCATCTGACTCTGGCTTCTGTTTGTGTCTGGACGCATCCTCAGTTTCTGAGTCACTGGCAGGTCCCTTCTGAGGTCCCTCACTTTCAGAGTCACTGACTCGGGGTTTGGGTAACTCTTCATTTTCAGAATCACTGGCCTGGTTCCTTGGGGGGTCCTCACTTTCCGAATCACTGATTCGGGGTTTGGGAAGCTCTTCATTTTCTGAGTCACTGGCCTGATGCCTTGGAGGGTCCTCACTTTCTGAGTCACTGATACGAGGTTTGGGAAGCTCCTCATTTTCAGAGTCACTGGCCTGGTGCCTTGGGGGTTCCTCACTTTCCGAGTCACTGACCTGAGGTTTAGGAATCTCCTCACTTTCAGAATCACTCATTCGAGGTTTGGGAGGTTCCTCATTTTCAGAGTCACTGGCTTGGTGCTTTGGGGGTTCCTCACTCTCAGAGTCACTGATTTGAGGTTTTAGAGCATCTTCTGTTTCAGAGTCACTGGCAGGACTCTTCTGGAGCTCCTCAATCTCAGAATCACTGGCAGGATGCTTTCCAGCATCTTCGTTTTCTGAGTCACTTGCATGCCCATTAAGAAGCTCTTCATTTTCAGAGTCACTACCAGGAAATTTCCTGGTCTCCTCACTCTCAGAGTCGCTCCCATGCTGATTGACATCCTCATTTTCAGAATCACTTGCAGGAGGTTGTGCACGTTCCTCAGATTCAGAGTCGCTGTCCTTTTGCCTGTGAAGCTCCTCACTTTCAGAGTCACTAGCATTAAGATTTAAGGGCTCATCATTCTCAGAGTCTGTCACATGATGTCCTTTGGTAAGGCCATCTTCTCGATCACTAGGTTCATTCTGAAAAGTAAAGTGAGAAAAAATTAGGAAAAGTGCAAAAAAGAAAAACTTTAATAGTAAAATGTTAAACATTTTCAGTGATTTTTTTTTTTTTTTTTTTTTTTTGAGACGGAGTTTCGCTCTTGTTACCCAGGCTGGAGTGCAATGGCGCGATCTCGGCTCACCGCAACCTCCGCCTCCTGGGTTCAGGCAATTCTCCTGCCTCAGCCTCCTGAGTAGCTGGGATTACAGGCATGCGCCACCAGGCCCAGCTGATTTTTTGTATTTTTAGTAGAGACGGGGTTTCACCATGTTGACCAGGATGGTCTCGATCTCTTGACCTCGTGATCCACCCACCTCGGCCTCCCAGTGCTGGGATTACAGGCTTGAGCCACCGCGCCCGGCCGTTGATTTTTTAAAATGTAGGAATATGGGCACCTAATCTGAGAATTCTTGTCATACACATACATAGAAATACCACACAGGAAATGGTTTTATTTGGATTCCCAAATGGGGAAATATAACCAGCCTTCATCAAAACAAATTTGAAAAGCATATCCTCAGATTACTATAGAAAACTGTGAAAACTGGCCTAGTTTTTTTTTTTTAAAGCTAATTTTCTCATACATACTTCTATTTTGCAAAAATATAAATCTAGGCCAGGCGTGGTGGCTCACCCGAGGTCAGGAGTTCAAGTCCAGCCTGGCCAACATAGTGAAACCCCATATCTACTAAAAATACAAAAAAATTAGCTGCACATGATGGCAGGCACCTGTAATCCCAGCTACTTGGGTGGCTGAGGCAAGGAGAATTGCTTGAACCCAGGAGGTGGAGATTGCAGTGAGCCCAGATAGCACCACTGCACTCCAGCCTGGGTGACAGAGCGAGATGCTGTCAAAAAAAAAAAAAAAATTATACATATATATACGCATATATATATATATATACACACACACACACACATACATTAAAATAAAAATAACTCTATTTTTCAAAGAAACACAAGCAAACATGTAACCGAGTTCTTTTATGTGGGAACATTCTTGGGTTTTACAAAGTTTAGATTATTTAGGGGATAAGAACTATAAAATTTCATTTATTTAAAGGGTCAGATAACATATGGGCACACTCTCCCAAGATAATTTAAGCAAATAAAGAAAGGAGAAGTTAACATTTCCTAAGTACCCACTAAGAGCCAATATCACAATAGGCTCTCTCCTGTTCATTCATTTACTCCTCGTAATAGTACTTCTCATGGTAACAAAATTGAGGCTCATAGTAGTCATAGTCCTATCTCTAGTAACCCTGGAAATAAGAAAGGTTAAGTTTTAGGGAGAACACGATTCATCTAACTACACCAACACACAATGTTACTTGAAATAATTACTCTGAAAACATGCTCTGGAGTACAAACTTGATATGTGCATACCATAGCTATGGTTTTTAAAACGCAGAGAAAAATATACAAAATTAAACATGCCAAAATACAAGTGTTTTGGGATCTGCTGAATTTTTTCTCCCATCTGGTATTTCAACTTTAAATAGAAAAATAAAAATAACTGGTGAATAGTATTCCAGCTTAAAAAGTATTTTCATGCTTGAGTATTCCCTCTTCAACATTTACTGAGCCAAATATTTCTCGTTAGATATGACCGAAACTATGTGAACCTACCACAGACCAATTTTCAAGGACCCAAGAGCCTTTAGTAATGTACAGCCCAACATCATGCTATGAAATAGTTAAGTGACAAGAGAATTGTTATCAATGACAGGATAAACGGCATGAAAATGTTCTCATAAAACCCATACTTTTACTTACCCAAGTATGCTGCGTCTACAAATTCAAAAAGAATATGAAAAATTATAAAATAAACAAGCCTACAAAGCAAAGATTTGAAGAGTTTTTTCCTATATCACCATTATGACAGCACAACATGGCAAAGAAACAGTCACTGCTTCTTTGCCATGAAATATAGCACATTCAGCAAAGTTTCCAAAATCATAAACTTCCCAAAATTCCTACCTATATTTTTCTTCAGTTCTCACTAGGCACTGAGCCCAGGACTGTATTAGATTCCTGGTCAGTCACAAACTCCGTTATCCCACTGAAACAGGCACTTTCCTGTTAAAACGATACTAGGACTAGAGAGATAACACAGAATCTTACAGTACAATACTCTGTATGTTGCCTAAAGCTTACTTTAGCCATACTTCATAATTTAAAAGAATGCATGTGGAAAATTTAACAATCTAGACTGTAAGCTCTAGGAAGGCAGGCATATTTTGGTTTGTTTTCCCCACTGAGGTATCCTCAGAGTACAGAATGCTCTCCAGTACATACACATGGTAGGTAGAGTTTAAGAATCCCTAATCTGAAAATTCAGAAAACTCCAAAATCTGAAACTTTTTGAGCATTGACACGACACCACAAGTGGAAAATTCCACACATAAGCACCTCACACAAAGTTTGTTTCATGTGCAAAATTATTTAAAATAATGTAAAAAAGTACCTTTGAGCTATGTATATAAGAAAGATAAAAGAATTTTATGTTTAGATTTGGGTCCCATCACCAAGATAGCTCACTGTGTATATGTAAATTTTTCAAAACTCAACAAAATTCTAAATCCAAAACACTTCTGGTTTCAAGCATTTTGGATAAGGGATACTCAACCTGTAATTGTTAAACGAGTAATAAAGGCGTTAAGTGTGAATAACATAAAGTGAGGAATAATTAATCCAATAAGAATTTATTTGATGTCTACTATGTGCAAGATGCTAAGAATCCAAGCTAAGTCTCAGTGCCTGACCTTAAGAGCTGCTGTCTAATGAGGAGCCAGCCAGGCATACTGTAATATTATACTGTGACATGCACTATTCACAAAGTATGCATATGATATTTTAAAAGTGCACTAGAAGTGCATCTATGTGAAACTGAGCTGCAAAAAAAAGGTGTGCAGACAGTGAGCTGAGATCGCACCACTGCACTCCAGCCTGAGTGACACACAGGCTCCACCAAAAAAAAAAGAAAAAAAAAAAAAAAAAAAACATTTTAAAAAGGTGTGCAGACAACAGGCATGTTGTGATGGCTGAGTTAAGATGGGAGGGTGAAGAAGCATACAGTACCAGCAGAGGCAACTAAAGCAAAGCAGAAGGCAAAAGGGAAAACTGTAACTGATTTTTGGAATGCTCTCCACGGCATGCCCATCACATAACTCTAATGCCATGTCTATGTGTGACTTGATTTATTTTAGTTGAAATAACAATCATCTCTGGCTAAGTCCAGAAAAAAAAGAACAATCTTCTCAGGATCAGTGACTTGAAAGATGAAAGACTGGAAGGTTAAGTGCCAATGCAGCACAAAAAGCTTAGAAAAAGGAACTCAAGGATCATTTTACTAGAGTACCATCAGTAACACGACTCAGCTATGAACATAATAAATTTCAGTGTCTACAACCTAAATTATAAATCCCCAAGAGAGATGACCTAAATGGTCAAGGCAATATCAGAAACCGTGACTCAATCAGTTACAGCTGGAGCAGGGGTACAGCACTGGGAGCCACTCCCAAAGAAGTGAGAGACACTAGGCAGTCATCCAAAACTCACCAGCTACACTCTATCCCGGATTTCCTGACGCATGGTGTAGCATTCCAAAACAAATAACCCTTACAAGGATACTGCATAAGACAATGATTGTGAAATTCAGGAATCCTCATGAATTTTTTATGAGTTTCACAAAAACATAGCATTATGTGTGGCACAACAGGGCAAAAAAAGGGAAGAAATCACTATAGTACAAAAGGACTAGTTTGACAGACTCAAGCTAAAGAATACATTTAGACACCACCACCACAGAATTTGGGACGAGTATGCTGGAAATTATACAGTTAAGCTTAAAAGCTATCAAAACAATATTCAAACTTTCTAGAGTGGCTTCAGCAATTAAACTGCAAGCTTAAAAAAATCCAAAAGACAGTTTTTTAAAAAGTCAGATGAGTACAACAAATCAACAGTTGAAACTGACATTTAATGTCATATTTTAAAATAATTTAAAATATGTAACAGTAAAAGAAATTGAGCACTCAGAGGGTCCTCGGATGCTTTAGACGTTTATAATGTCTTATACCTCCTTCTTAGCCATCATTCACACTGAAGCTATAAACAACTACTGGTTATCCATCATAACCTTTCCTTCAAATTTAAGAAACTATCTTTCCGTGGAAAAGTTCAAAAATTCAAAATTCTTCTAAATTTTGAGTTTTTACTACATTTTGAGTTAGCTGTTGCTTGCTTATAAAAAGGGGTTACCATGTAAAATGGCATAGTATTCTAGCAAACTATTTTCCCTTTGATTTGAAAGATTAATGAGCACTGCAGAAATAAGACAAATGCTAACCACACCCAAAGATCACAGTCCTTTCAATCTCTTCTCTGTGTAAATTTGCTTTAAAAAATTAAACCAGGACCTAGAATCACAATAATAGCCTCTATCTTTCTAGTAATAGCGGCAGGAAGCAAATTCCTAGGCAGATAGGAGTGGGTCCCGAGTGAAACATGACCTTCTAGCCAAAGACAGCTTAAACCCTGAAAACTGAGCTGCCAGAGCCCCTGGCTGGAGTGAGATCTTTTATTCCTGTTCATCTGCTCTTTCCTGATTGGTTCTGAATATACTATTTTTTAACCAGTCAAATGTTGCCTTTCCCAAAGCTACCTACAGCCCATTCTTCCCCAATTCTGAGCCTATAAAAACCCCAGACTTTCCACATGTTAGGGACTACCCACCTTTGGGTAGGGGCTGCCCATTTCAGGTCCCCTCTCTGCTGAGAGCTGTTCCGTCGCTCAATAAAATTCTCTCCACCCTGTTCACTCAGTGTGTCCGTGTAGCCCCATTCTTCTTGGACGCAGGAAAAGAACTTGGGAACCGCCAAACCGGGGATGGGAAAAGGGATGTAACACTGTACCCATCCCTCCCGCTTATCCAGCAATGGGGGAGAAGTTGTTGCTGGGCATGACACACCGCCATTCACCGAGGCTAGGGTACCAGGAACGACCAAGAGAGCCGTAGCGCTTCTTGAGAGCCCAGACCTTGGGACTCTCCAAAGCAGAGCTGTAACACGCCCCTGCTCACCAAGCCTGGCGCAGTGGGAACAACTGAGCTCGGACACCCTTGGGGCCCTCCAGTTCCTGGCGTCTCCGAGTCTTCAGGCACCCCCCCCCCCCAGCCTCCTCATCTGGACACTGGCGCCTACTATGCAGCTGCTTGCAGCACACTGGGTGCAGCTGCAGCATCCCACGGAGCCCGCGCCTGTGTCGGTGCCTGGAGCTGCCCTACCACTGCAGCAGCTGACCCGCCTGGCTATGCGCTGTGACCAGACCTCGCACTTGCTCGCTCACACACCCCTTGCCATTCCGTGGCTGTCCTGCCTGCAGAGGCCATTAGCAAAAACCAAGTACAGCCTACCAGGCTGAGTGGGCAGGGTGAGTCCAAGCAGCGAGCCCGGAGCCTAGAGAGGCCGGAGTAGGGGCACTGCCGGCCCACAGACGTTTCCAGCCAATGGGAAGTGGCATCCCAAAAAAATCCTGCATCACAAGTAACATGTTCAGTTCTCCATGTCACTAAATATTATCTGAAAACAAATAGCTGCATTGCCATTTTTATAATGTTCCATTTATACTTTAATCGCTCATTTTCTACACTGTTGAGTTTTTCTTGTTTCATTTCTTACGTTTATTAAGGCTCACTTACCCATTTCAGTGTTTTCAACCCAAGGGCGATTCTGTCTCCTCACCCAAGGGGTCGGTGGGAAATTCGAGGGACTGTTTTTGGTCATCAATGATAGGGAGGATGTGTTACTAGCATTTTTTAATGCCCAGTAAGCAACACGATAAATGTCCTGTAATACACAGGCATGCCTCCAAATATCCACAACTGGCTTGCTAAAAATCTCTTGTTCCGGAAAGCAACACAAGGCTGCTCTCTGTGGAGGTGTGGCCACAGGCAAGACCCAGAGGATCTCACCCATCCATGCCTATAGGAAACTACATGAGATGAAAGAGCTCAACGGGCCCAATACAGATTGCAGTAACAGACAAGCAAAGCATAATGGGTCCCTTTGGGATTTAAACTGGGGAATATGCAAAAGTTTAACCAACCTGTAAGAGATAAAAATGAAGTCACACAAGGACTTTTGGCATCACAGCATCAGAAGTTCTACTTACCTTCTCCCCAGTGAAAATTATTAAAAAAACAACCACTTAAAGCCTCTAGAAATGGTCCTAACAGCAAAGGGCAAACGAAGAAATGCCTACACAAATTCTACAAGAGAGGCTAAAGACTCTGTTATTTGAACCAAGACCAATCCCTCCTTTCAACCTCACAATTCAGTGAGGCTGACTCCACTACAGATTGCTGTAGCCAGAAACACAGAGCTCCCTCTGCATCCTGGTTTCAATTAGAGAGTTTTCTTCCCAGAAAGAGCACAGTATCAGCATCTCTCATCCTGCTCCCAGATGCCTCTTGCTGTGCTAAGTTCCAAAAGACTGCCGGTGTGAAGTGGAGATTCCCATCTTTTGCTCAACCCTTACTTGCTTAAAGAAGGCTTTACCTTGCTTAGGTGCACCACACTGAGAACACTGGGACCCTAATCACCCTTGTGCCAGCTTGTGAGACCATGCCAAGAGCAGCACGCTAAAAGGATTTCAGGTTACTAGCTCATTCCCACCCCCCACCCCCTATTCAGAGCTCAGTGTTTAAAAAAACCCAGAAGGCAGCCTAGGCAGCATGTCAAAATCCCATCTCTACAAAAAACACAAAAATTAGCTGGGCATGGTGGTGTATGCTTGTGGTCCCAGCCACTCCGGGGACTGAGACAGGAGAATCTCTTGAACCTGGGAGACGGAGGTTGCAGTGAGCTGAGATCACGTCACAGCACTCCAGCCTGGGCGACAGAGTGAGACCCTGCCTGACCCGCCCCCCTTCCCCCTCCACACACACAAATAAATAAATAAAAAAGGAGAAAACAGCTGAATAGAATTACTAGACTAATAAGCTCAATGAGAAAAAAGAGGACTTCAACAATACTATAAACAAGCTAGATCAAACAGATATCTAAAGAAATAGGCCAGGCACAATGGCTCACACCTATAATTCCAGTGCTGCTGAGAGGCCAGGGTGGGAAGACCAATTGAAGCCAGGAGTTCAAGACCCGCTTGGGCAACATAGCAAAACCCATCACTACAAAAAATTTAAAAATTAACCAGGCGTGATGGCATGCACCTGTAGTCCTAGCTACTCAGGAGTCTGAGGCGAGAAGACTGCTTGAGCTCAGGAGTTCAAGGTTCAGTGAGCCATAATTGTTTTACATGCCCACTGTGTTAAAGTAAGCTACAGTTACACCACTGTACTCCAGCGTGGGCAACAGAAGAGACCTTTTTTAAAAAACAAAACAAAACAACAACAACAAAAAAACCTTTATTCAACAATAAAAATATATATTCTTATTAAGTGCATGGAACATTCTCCAGCATAGGCTATGTGCTAGGTCCTAAAACAAACCTTGATAAATTTAAAAGAATAGCAATATACAAAGTTTGTTCCCCTACCACAGTGAAATAAAACTAGAAATTAAAAATAAAAAAATAAAAAACAAACAAAAAAACTAGAAATAGAAAAAATGTTTAAGAGCAATATGAATATGAAATTAATAAAATAATTCCATTTACTAAGCATCAAAGAGAATAACATACTTATAAATTTAACAAAGAAATCCAACATGTATACATGGAAAACTATAAATCACTGTTAAAAGCAATTAAACACTTAAATAGACATCCCACATTCTTGGATGAAGGGACTTTATACTGCCAAGATGGCAATATTGCCCAAACTGATCTACTGATTCAGTGCAATCCCCCTATCAGAATCCCAGCTAACTTCTCTGCAAAAATCAACAAACTTATTCTAAAATACATAGGTAACTGCAAGGGACCCAGATTGGCCAAAAGATCCTGAAAAAGAACAAATTAGGACTCATACTCTCCAATAACAAAACATACTACAAAGCAATAGTAGTTAATACACTACTACATGCACAAGGATAGATGCAGATATGAGTAAGATTTTAATCTTAGATATGAGTAAGAAATGAAGCCACATATCCTATGCTCAACAGATTTTCAACAAAGATGCCAAGACCATTCAATGGCTAAAGAACAGTCTTTTCACAATGCAAAGAATAAAACTACACCCTTATCTTACACTATAAACAAAAATCTCAAAACTAATCAAACACCAAAGTGTAAGAGCTAAAGCTGCAACAGTCTTAGAATAAAACATGGGGGTAACTCTTCATGACCTCAGATTTGGCAAAAAATTCTTAGGTATGATATTAAAAGCACAAGCAATCCAAGAAAAAAAACAAGATAAACTGAACTGTATCAAAATTAAGAACTTTTGTACTTCAAAGGACACCATAAAAAGTAAAAAGACAACCCAGAAACGGGAAAAGTATTTGCAAATTAGTCATCTCATAAGGAGTGATATAAAGACTAAAGATATTTTGACAACTCAATAATAAGAAAAAAAAAAAGCTCAATTTTAGAAATGGACAGGCCAAGTATGGTGGCTCATGCCTGTAATCTCAGCACTTCGGCAGGCTAAGGCAGGAGGACTGCTTGGGGCCAGGAATTCAAAACCAATTGAGGCAACATAGTGAGATCCCATCTCTACAAAAAAGAGGACAAAGAATCTGAATGGATATTTCTTCAAGGAAGACATACAAATGACTAGACACTCAACATGATTACTCATCAGAGAAATGCAAATCAAAACAAGTGATATACCATTTCACAGCCACTAAGATGTCTATAATCAAAAAGTCAGGTAATAAGTGCTGACAAGACTATGGAGAAATCAGAACCCTTACACTCAGCTATTATCAATGTAAAACAGTGGAACAACTGTGGAAAATAGTCTGGCAGTTCCTCAAATGATTACACAGAATTACGTTATGAGTTAGCAATTACTTCTGGGTTAGCAATTACCTCCCTTAGGAATATGCCCAAGAGAACTGAAATCGAATGTCCACAGAAAACTTGTATACAAATGGTTACAGCAGCATTATTCATAATACCAAAAGAAACAGCCCAAATGTCATCAACTGATGAATGGATAAATAAAATGTAGTCTATCAATATAATGGAATATTATTTACCACAAAAAAGGAATGAAGTACTGATACACGCCACAACATGGATACACCTTGAAAATACTATGGTAAGTGAAATACGTCACTCACTAAAGACCATATTTTATCATTCCATTTGTAAGAGAAGTCCAGGACAGAGACTCTATGAGACAGAAAGTAACTTAGTGGTTGCTGAGGACTGTGGGGTGGGGAGGGGGTAGGCAAAGGGAAGAGGAGATTAGAAAGGTAACAGCAAGTGTTTCTTAGGTAATGAAATTCTAAAATCGACTGTGGTGATAGCTGGACTACTAAAAAATTTAAAGATCACTGAATTGCATATTTTAAGTGGGTAAATTGTATAGCACATAAATCTATCTCAATAGAGTCCTTTTTTGGGCCAGGCATGGTGACTCACATCTGTAATCCCAGCACTTTGGGAAGCCACGGTGGGCGGGTGCCTTGAGCCCAGGAGTTTAAGGTCAGCCTGGACAACATGGCAAAATCCCATCACTGCTATAAATAAAAAAATTAGTTGGGCAGAGTGGTGCATGCCTGGGTCCCAGCTACTTGGGAGGCTAAGGTGGGAGGATCACTTAAGCCTCCCTCACTTAAGGGAGGTTGAGGCTACAGTGGGCTGTGATAGTGCCACTATACGTCAGCCTGGGCAACAGTGTAAGATTCTGCCTCAAAAAAAAGAAAAAGATAAACTGCTTTTTAAAAGGCAGGTAACCTTTTTTTCTTTTGAGACAGAGTTTCACTCTTGTCCATGCTGGAGTGCAATCATGCGGTCTCAGCTCACTGCAATCTCCACCTCCCTGGTACAAGTGATTCACCTGCCTCAGCCTCCCGAGTAGCTGGGATTACAGGCACCTGCCACCACGCCTGACTTTTTGTATTTTTAGTAGAGACGGGGTTTCACCATGTTGGCCAGGCTGGTCTCAAACTCCTGACCTCAGGTGATCTGCCCACCTCGGCCTCCCAAAGTGCTGGGATTATAGGAGTGAGCTACCAGGCCTGGCCCAAGACAGGTGACCTTTTTAAAGATCAAAGTTGATGCAAAAAATCCCATGATGAACAAGATATTTAAAATTTGAAGACAGGATAACTGGTACTGGCTTTTCCTTTTCCCTCTGGGTCAAATATAGAGCAACACAGCATGGTTACTGATCCTAACTTTAAGATTTTGATATTTTATTCATCGTAATTTTTTGCATTAGAGTTTTAAAATATCACTTATCTTGATTACTGAGTATTTTTCAAAGCTTGGAGGAAAAAAATAAAGCCAACCATATAAGAAGAAACAGAGATGTTATTAGAAATGGCTATTAGGCAGGCCCATTAATGACAGAACAAACTCCCTGGACAGATTTACAGCCCATTACATACATGTGTTAACAGTAAATTCTCGTTTTCTTCAAGCAGTCTGACAAGAGACTTGCTCTGTCACCTGTCAGAGATTATTTACAGACATATACAATTATTTTAAGAAAAAATAAGTTATATTTTTTAATAACTAAAGAAGCTTTATAATAAAGTGGTTAAGAAACCTGCAAAAATTACTGGTCTTCAAAATCTTATCAGTATTTCCTACACTGACCACTATCTTAAAGACTTTGTGTGTGTGTGTGTTTTGTGTGTATTAATACTATAGGTGAAATGAATTTTTAAAAAAATACTAGCCTAAATTCTAAAATACAGATGGAGATTTTTTTTAAAGTACCATTATTGGGAAAATTATGCTGTGAGGATCATCTCATGGTAGGCAAAATGATGACCCCCCAAAAATGTCCATGTTCTAACCCTTGGAACCTGTGAATGTCACTTTACATGCAAAGGGACTATGAAGATATAATCAAGGTAAGGACCTTGAAATAGGGACATTATCCTGGATTATCCAGGTAGCCCCAATTATAATTACAATGGTTTTTACAGGGGGGAGTGCAGGAAGGGCAGAGTAAGAGACAGAAATGTGATGACAGAAACAAGAGGTCAGAAAATGAGTTGTGAAGATGCTATGCTGCTGATTTTGAGGATGGAGGAAGGAGCCTCAGCCAAGAAATGCAGGTAGCCACTACAAACTGGAGAAAGCAAGGAAATGTATTTTCCCCCAGAAAAGAACCCAGCCCTGTGATGCCTTGATTTTAGTCCAGTGAGATCCATTTTGGACTTGACCTCCACAATTACAACAAATTTGTGTTGTTTTAAGCCACCAAGCTGTGTCAGGTCGTTACAGCCTCAATAGGAAACTAGCATCTTTTAGGCTTTGTACCTGTAATTCACACTGCTCCATTTAATACAACTGTACTCTTTTAATATCCCATTACTTCTAAAAAAAAAAAAATTTTAATGAGAAAACATCAAAATTTATTCTTAAAAGCCATTTTAAATAGGCAAAAGGACATTAATACAGAACTCAACACTTATAGAATACAGGTGGCACTCCTGAAGTACTCGTGGTTTAGCAAATTAAGATAACCTTCCTGGAGAGGAATATTTATGAAGAGCCTTAAAATGAGTCTCT